ACAGGTAGGTACCACCACCCTGCCTATTTCAGCCGTGAAGCAGTAATGCGTTACGGTTTGATAGGTCGGGCAGCCGTTGTAACTATACTGAGATTTTAGAACTCATATCTCAAGGTGAGTGGCGGTATTTACGTTGTATTTGTCTATGGGCTCCGGTAACCACTTAACGCCAGGTGGGCTGTAAGCTAGAAAAACTATCTCTAGGCAATAAAAATAAAATAAAACATCTCGAGCTTTAGATTCATTTTATGTATTTTTTTCTATTGTTTTCTTGTGCATTTATATAGGTACGTATATAATTATCAAAACTGGTCACGCTACGCTGTGACTATCGTTGATTGCATGAAAATAATCGATTCGTTGAAACTACTCGCGCTCCACCTATCATGCTTAGATGATATTATGATAGAAACTTTTCCTCAAATGCCAACGAAATCCGAACCAAGTTTCATCACAATCGCTGAATGTTTTGAGAACGCATAGAAGACAAAAATATAAACATTCATGTTTACTAATATAAATGAAAACCTCAGAACTCTATAACCCCTTGCGTTATTAATAATTTTACTAATAATAATTATCCAGCGACGTAACACAGCCGTCCGCCGCGCCGCCAAGACCTGTGCGCTGGGGCCGCCCACCATTGGCAATTTTTGAAAAATATTGTGTAATCAAAAAGATTTTAAATAAATATAGAACATAAAACTACTAAAAAGAAAAACACGTTCAAAATGTAAATATATAATAATTAAGACTACTTTTACGGTTTGATCACGCGTTTAATGTTTTCATTTTACTATTTCTTTTCGAATAATTTACAGCGTATACGTACTAATTTACGGACTTTCTTGGTCTTATTATGGTCAAATGATACTTTAGTTAGTTAATCTAATCTTCAAAACGTTTTTGCCACGTTTTGTTTTTCGAATTTAATTCGAAGTTACAATGCTCATTCGCAAAAAAAAAATTCAATTGATATTAATCATCTTCTTCAGTTACGTAGCTAATTTTAGAATTTAAATGTGTGTATTTTCCATAGATCTAAAAAAGATAAGTTACTTAATTAAGCAATTGCAATTCAATTATAATGTGTGCGACATATTGGTTTTATCGTTTGCGGCCACACGCATTTTCGTCAAGAGTAGAAACATGTGTAGAGGGAACATGTAACTTCTATGAGGTTAAAATTGTTCTAATCGGCTATTTGGTTTTACTGGTGGTAGGACCGTGAGTCCGCGCGGGTAGGTACCACCACCCCGCATATTTCTGCCGTGAAGCAGTAATGCGTTACGGTTTGAAGGGTGGGGCAGCCGTTGTAACTATACTTGAGACTTTAGAACTTATCTCAAGGTGGGTGGCGCATTTACGTTGTAGATGTCTATGGGCTCCAGTAACCACTTAACATCAGGTGGGCTGTGAGCTCGTCCACCCATCAAAGGAAAAAAAAGAAAATTGGTTTAAGCGACATTTCTGCCACTTTACAAGTGACCCATTTAAAGTTTAAAATTTAGAAATCATGTACCAAAAAAAGTTCTTCGACTATATCAATTAAGTAAGCTTGAAGTTCAATTAAAAAAAATCGAGCTGTTGATGCTAAAACCAAATAAAACGCACCTTACGAGTATAATACAAAGGTCAATGTCGCGTATTAAGCGAAATGTCGCTTAAACCAAATAGCATTTCACCTCTCAATATAATACCTATCCAGTAGAGCATTTGAAGTAGAAATATCTAGAATATGATACTCATATTTAAACTACCTTAATAGATATACGTAATCGCGCGTGTTACGAATGCCAATAAAATCATTTCTGAGATATAATTACTGAATTATTTCTACATCAAAGATACTGATTAAAAACAGAAAAATGTTAACGAATTTACTTTAATATAATTATAACTTGAATGAACTTGTAGCAAGTAGGGCGTTGTGAGGTCACATAGGTCGGTAATGTGGGTACCACCGTCTTAATATTCCTGCACTGTTGGTTCAGTATTCCAATGCAGTTAAGACTCATATCTCAAGATGGGCAGCGAAATTATATTCTGATATCCCAAGGTGGGCCGATAAACTATCAGTAACAAAATAATTCATTGAATAAACAGTGTGATTTTTTAAGTTACAAAACAGAATTTTTAGCATGTCATTTAATAATTAAAATGATAGAGTAAAATGTAACCTAGAATGATCCTTCTATTTATATAGGTCGTTAACGATTCTTAGGTCGTTTCGCGTGTTCATCGCCTTGACCGCCCTTTTTTGTTTTATTAACCATTGTTCTATTACACACTGATAGTTTAAATGCAAAATTGATAAATTAACGTCCAAAATACGACTGTGAAACTAAATAAGGCAGAAATTAACTTTAATTGATGTTATTAAAACTAAAATTAAACATAGGATATTGATCTTCCGAGTTAGACGTGACTGCCCTTTTGTTCATTACCTACATGACAAAAAAAATCAGAAAGCGTAGTTTTTTTTATATTATATTGATAATTGTACTGCTAGCCATGGTGATAATAAACAGTTATTTTATACTGGATACCTGAGATAATATTTTTTCTTGTTCCGCCAGAATCAGATGGAATGTAACAAAATATTTACTTTTTTCAAGTATTTGGGTTTTGTAACTTTTTGAAGTTATACTTCTTTAGGCGCGTTATGAAAAATTGATGAGAGTGAAGTTTTATGATGCGCGCGCACCGTGACACAAAATTAACAGAATGAAGTTGCCCACTAAATCGCTCATTACAATACGACCGACGTAACTTGGCGAGTCTGAATATAGCCGCAGGGGAACTTTCGCGCATGTACACTAATAAAAAAGAGTGTTATTAGCATTCATTTTTTAGTAACATAAATGACAAAATTCATATTAATACTAAATATTATTAAATTATTAACGTTAAATATTTATATTAATTATTTATAATATAAAAAAAGAAATAAATTTAATAAAAATAAAGTATAACTTCTTACGCGTGTACATAAGTACACGCACCCTTTTTTTTTCGTATAGCAACTAGTTGCACTAGATGGGCAGAAGAGCCTGCGGTACACCTCATATTGAATAAGTCATCATAGCTCACGGAAATCATCAACGGACACCGAAAACCTGAAGATTATTTCAAACCTCGTTTGAAGAGGGACTTGTAACTTAAGAAAAATATAACAGTTGGTCCCTGTCCATGTGGCAAAAGCATCGCAGGAATCAAAATTTAACGTAGGTAGCGGTTTTATTTCTTTGCTGCGTATGAGTTCACGGCAAACCTAGTGTTTTCAGGTGCAGACTGGACTCTGCTCTAGGGGTGTGTGGTGCAGTGATAACGACCAGATGAAATCATTACGGACGACGCCTGCAGAACACACGAATATAGTACCGTAACGATACAAGCTTACACTACAACAGTGGTTCCCAAACTTATTTTGTCTACTGTCCACTTTGAGAATAATTTATTTTTTAGCGCCCCCGTATTTTCACCTACTTAAAAACCACTATAGCGAGAGCTCAGTCGGTGACTAAGAGTCCCCCTAGATGAAATTACAAATCGCCGCTCAAGCCTGTACACAACGCCTGGGTCACTAATTTTCTGCGTCTATTACCGCCCCCATTAGGCCTGCAGCGCCCACAAAACTATTGTTGTCGCTATTGTCCACTTTGGGAAAGGCTGCACTATAAGCATTAGACCGCCTTAAAGCATATAGCGTATCGGTCTAAGAGTGGTTATCATACTCCTTTTCAATAAGTCATGGAGAAACTTTTTTTTTTTTTTTTTTTTTTTTTTTTATGATTGAAAGTTTACTGGTGGCCCGAAGGCCTTTCCAGTTTCACCAGGACAGGTGGGCGAGCAAAGGCTCAGCCAAGAGGGGTGGGATTTGCTAACAACTGCCCGAGCGCCTCCGAAGGAGGCCTAACAACTCAAGAGCAATTGTTTCGCGAATGAATCTACTACCGGATCGGAATCGCGACCCGCTGAGAAGATCCGGCGAGAAACTCAGCGGGCTGATGCATGGGTTAGGTTGCACGTCGACCTCTTTGTCGAGTTCGACGAGTACGGTTACCGGGGTCCCTAAGCCTGCCCCTAGTATTAGAGCTGAAGGCATCTAATGCAAAGGTTATTGGATCTGATGGATCCGTAAGGACGTGTCTAGGGCGTCGACGGTGACTGGCTCCTGCATGATCAGGATTCGGGGAGTAGTCAGCGGCGGCAACGATAAGGCGATTATCATGACGCATAGCCTTATCGAAGTATCGTTCCGACGCTGACTTCATGTATTTCCGAATTGATTCGAGGCCCAGGTCGTCGTGTAGGTCAACGTTCCTCACGAACCACGGAGCCCCGACAGCTAACCTGCAAAAGCGGGATTGTAGGGATTGGAGGGTGTCTATGTGTGTGCGGGCCGCGTGAGCGAACACCACACTCGCGTAAGTCATGACGGGCCTTATGCAAGTTTTGTAAAGTGTCACCTTGTTCCGAAGGGACATTTTACTCCGCTTACAGATCATGGGGTAGAGTCTACCGAGAATAAACGCGGCACGGTCACGGACTGATTTTATATCTCTCGGAGAAACTCTAGTACGCACGAGCAACTAACAGATGTGCAAGGTGGAATTGGCCTTAATTAACCCAAAGCCTGCGACATTGCTTTGTTATTGCATTGTGGATTGCAAATTTTACGCAAAAGTAGAACGTAGAACTTAGACGCACTGCACTGGCTATCCAAAACACGATGGGAGGGACATTGGGAACTGGGGGTCTCCGTACACCTGAAGACTAGTCGTTAAAGAAACGGTAAGTCGCAGAACGACTTGCCTGTTTGAGGATCGGTGGCCACAGATATCGACTGCATATCACGAGGTTACAAAATTTGAAGAATGCGTAATAATGGAAAGTATCATAATAATAATCATGGCACAGATACTGATTAAGATCGACATAGGTTTTCAAAATCCATCAAAACACTTTCTTTTAAATTAAAAAAGAAAACTACGTTATAAGTCAACAACATCACGCTTTATTTCACATATTAAATTGTTAAGGCATTTCGGTAAAATATGAAAACAAGTACAGCCAATAATATCCTTTAAAACATCCATTTACTTCTAATACATCTAATATTCGGTTATAAATATAATATCTACAATTTGTAAAGCAGCAATTGAATATATTACAAATTATTTTACTAAACATTTGAACAATTTAAAAGTGTCAATAAGTTATAACAAACAAAATGACATTACAATGAGACATTTAATAAAAAGCGTATATTCATGGTAGTATATTTTCGAAACATCAAACTACTAATAATTTTAATATAAAATCCAGAACTCCATAATAAGTTTCACTGTAGCTTTAAATAATATTTTCATACACTATGTACTTTTTATTACAAAATTTATCTAATTAACATCGGTTCACCTTTATTTCGTCAAGTTAAGCAACGGACTTAAGAATTATATTAGTAAGGTTATTTGATATCTCAGATAATAAGGATAATGTAATGCAATAGTAATGAAAACTCAACTTTGAAATTTACAGTTTAAGAATCGATTGCATTTAAGGAACTAACAAAGGACGTTGACTAAAATGTCTTATGTTTTTACCATTCCAGTAGAATAATGGACTTTATCACAATAAACATATAGGGTATTGTATTCAATTATCAGCATCGAACAGCAATAAATGGTTTCCCGAAATAATTTTCCCTACACCCGATATTTTGAAAATCGATTAAGTAAACCAGAGATACATTGAGCATGCGTTTTAGTAACGCTACTTTGGAAAATCGCGAATTGTATGTAATGCAGCGATATTAGGTTTGTTAGGAGTGCAGTAGGTACTTGTTATATTTTCAGAAAGACTAATCCTTTCTTTTCATTTTAAATCTTTCTTATTTTCAGTTTTTTTTTTTTTTAATTGTTTGACTGTGCTACTCTGTGCTACGCTTATTAACCGGCAAATGGAGAAAGTTTGCCGGTTAGTTAATGCGGGTACAGCAATACCTGACCATCGTAAACGGTTGTGATGTAAACGTAGGTACATGAATAAATAAACAAACGAAACAGATTATTAACGCACTTCACTCTGTACGATCTATGTTCGCTCGACAATAAAACCTAAGACAGTCTTTAAAATAATATTGCACTTTAGTTCATTCTTGCTGACGAAAGCAGGCACGAATCGAGACAGAATCAGACAGATAATTATTTAAAAAAAAAACGCAGTTAAGCTGCGACCTAAAACAACGACAACTGTAACATTTGAAAAAATCGATACAATAATCGATAATGTATATAAATATAATAAAATATTGCACTCGTTTCAATAAAGCATTATTCAAATGGTTTTCCTAAAAGTTCCGTAAATTTTAAATGTGTGTACGAGACGATAAACTTGACTGTAATTCGGCAGGTCAAGACTTGTTTTGCATTTCACTGATAGAACCGCGTATTCAGATTCGAACTATCGATGCATCTATTATTAATATCTAGAAAGGATTTCTTTTTTTTTTGTAAATAGCTATTATTGTTCCTTAGAAGTCTCATTAACTAATATTTCCAATCTGCACGACTGGCACGAATCAATGCCGAGTGTTATCGCTGAGGCAACATCGCCTTGTTTGGTTCGCGCCGGTTTTTTTCCGCGGAGCAAAAGTTTTAATTGTTCCATCGACTGAGTTCGCGTGTTTACCACTTTATATCATCATTGTCTAATCGCCTTCATCCCCGGTACGCACAACTATCACGATTAGAACAATTTTAAATCAACATTAATTGCTTATTTAACGCAAACAACAGCGCAAACGATTCTGGTATACATTTTAAGGAACTAATAAAAAAATTATCGAATAAGACAATTTGAAAACGTAATTTTTATTTATTTTTCTTTGGTATAATTTATAAAATTTATTTGAATAGGTAGTACGATTTACGACACAATTTTCAGTCTCATTGATTATAATTTTTTTTAATGGAATGTTTAGTTGTGTAAGTTGTGTTCTATTAAATTAGCTGCACGAAGAATTCAAAGATTTATCAGATGAAACTTTTTTATGTAATGTTCTGGATTCTTTATTATTATTTCAAATCGTATTTAAAGTTCAGTAAAGACTACACGTTCGTATTTTACGAAGTGTCCGATATGTGTCGCAAACGCTTAGACGCGTTTGGACCTTAATTTTCAGGATCTATTCTTTATCCGATGATCTGAAACAAACATAATTAAATTAAATTTTAGGATGAGCCGGTCTGTATAATACCATTTTGAGGTTTAATTTTAAGTGACATGGAAAGCAACACGTAGAGGGGTACAATGCGATCCGTTGCTACACATTTTATTTATAATTTGCGTACAGTAGATTGGGGGAAATAGACGCCAGTCGGAATAGGAACAAATTTGGGATGTCACATTACGTTTAAGTTTTTGTTGAACTGAAAATGTCTTTTATTTAGTGTTTAAGAATATTAAATAGTTTAATTTAGTCATCAAGGTTTTGTAACTCATTAAAGATATTAAAAAATTAGCTAAAGTTACGTAACAACTAAATATTGCCAGCCCTATAGAAAAACTCAATTGTTCCCTTATGCGACTCGATTCACCCTACTCTTGGGTGAATAGGGACAAGTAAGTTATTATGATTATTCTTTAGTAAACTATATCTTAATGCATTATAAATGTAAATTACCCGAACCATTATGATCTTCGTTTTATTACTATAACTACAAAAAAAACGATAAAAACCAATGTCGAACTTAAAAAGTGTCCCGATTCCCCCCATTTTACAGTATTTAAAAAAAGTCTTATCGTCTGTATTATATGGCTTTATCGTATATTATAATGGCTGAATTCAAATTTAAAACTAAATGTATAATAGTATTATCGATTCATGAAAATTTAATACATTAACGTTCGCTTTTAACACATCAATCGCATGACACGTTTGTTTTGAAGTAAATGCTTGACGCATTATTTCCAAAACCCAAAATTGACCATAACACGTTTAAAATAAAATACATCATATTGTTTTACGTAATTGCGATATAAAGATTTGTTATAAAATGTTTACAGCGGACGCGAAATCTAAAACGATGAGTCATGCTATTATTAAAATTATTACGAATTTCATTTGCAGCTAGCGATGTGTGAGCATTCTAAACGTGATCACAGTACGAGAATTTTCCGCTGCACTGAACAAAACTTAAATGACTCAACGTCTTATTAATGCCAAATATTCTCGATACTAATCCCAAAAAGAATATGTGCCGATAAGTTTACTATTAACAGGATAATTTGTTAAGCTGTGTGCCAATTTTAATAGCCCTATTAAAGTTTCTATAATTACAAGATTAACTACGATAATCACAAGAGAGTAAAAATGTACTGAAATAAATTAATGTACAAAATTAAATTTAACTTAAAAGCGCTTTAACTTAAGCAAAAGGTTGGCAGCGGCTTGGCTCTGTCCCTGGCATTGCTGAAGTCCATGGGCGACGGTAACCATTCACCATCATGTGGGCCGTATGATCGTTTGCCTACAAGGGTAATAAAATAAAATAAAAACGTAGCACGGATTAGTAAGCTCTTAATTACCTTGAGATTCATCTACATTACAAATCGCGTTTTTATTAATTAAAAAATATAATTTTTTGTAAGTATCGATTATATAATAAAAACTAAACTTGTAAACGTTGACCATAAAAAAGAAAAAAAAACCATAAAAATGAAAACAACATAAAGTTTAATCAGTGCCATTATCGACATCGAATTGGCCATGCATGGTCTTGTCACGGATATAATGCACTGCACACATTGTTGTGCAACACATTAAATACGTACCTTTATCAAGATCCGTACCAATACGTTTTACTCATGAACTTTAATGATTACAAAATACAATTTTCTTCTCGCTTATTTAGATTCAGATCGAACTCGCCGAATTATTCCTTTGTAAATTATCAAAAAGTATACGAAAAAGAAAAAAATATATATGTATATGCATATGTCAAAGCGATGTATCAAATTTACAGACACAAAAATGTTCTAACCCTGTTATTTAAGTACCACAGCAGCATTGTTTATTTCTAAACAATGTGCTTAGTGCGAGTTTTTTAACGTTCTCGACGGTGGCGGATTTGCAGTCTCGGCCGCCCTAGGTCCCAAGCCATCAGCCGCCCCTTTCTCAGTATCCACCATATAGACTACATAATGAAATTACTTTATTGCCAACTTTTAAATAGAATTAGAAATTTAGGAAAAAAAATTGTTTTATCCGGTATAGATTGCACAATGCAGTGCAGGCCGCCCGCCATACGTTATAATAAGTTTTTTGACACGATTGGGGCCGCCCCTAAATCTGGCCGCCCTAGGCCCGGGCCTTACAGCCTGGCCACGGGACATTCGCCGATGCGAATATTCGCGCGGTGCGAACGGCGAAGCGTCTAGCGACTAAAACAAGCGCATAGAAATGTACCTAACAAGCCACGCGCACCGGCGACCGGCGAAGCGACCGGCGAAATGTACCGAGCGAATCGCGCGATGCGGCGGGCGAGCAAAACAAATGCATGAATACGGACGGCGCGAGCCACGGAGTCGAGCGGTAGTCGCGGCGAATAGTGCAGTGATTAAATGAGTTTAGTTGTTTTCGCCGCGAAAAATTAACGCCGAAATTTTTATATTTTTTATTTATTTTTTATTTTATATTTTTAAAGTCGTCGTGGCCTAACGGACGTCCGGTGCAATCGTGTTGAGCGATGCACCGGTGTTCGAATATCAGGCGGGTACCAATTTTTGTAATGAAATACGTACTCAACAACACTCAACGTTCACGATTGATTTCCACGGTGAAGGAATAACATCGTGTGATAAAAATGAAATCTTCAAAATAATAATTTGCGTAATTACTGGTGGTAGGACCTCTTGTGAGTCTACACGGGTGGGTACTACCACCCTGCCTATTTCTGCCGTGAAGTAGTAATGCGTTTCGGTTTGAAGGGTGAGGCAGCCATTATAACTATACTTGAGACCTTAGAACTTATATCTCAAGGTGGGTGGCGCATTTACGTTGTGGATGTCTATGGGCTCCAGTAACCACTTAACACAAGGTGGGCTGTGAGCTCGTCCACCCATCTAAGCAATAAAAAAATAAAATAGCTGAAATACTAGCTAGACCAGCTATTTGGAAGTCTAGCCACCCAAAGTATTTCTCGTACTTCTTGTGGAATTCTCCATCTATAGGTATACTCCGATTCTTATTCAAATCATGTACTTCACAATCTTTTCCAAATAATAGGTCCTGAACCAAAAAACTATTAATTTGTAAGCAATATCGAGATAATTTCGAAATAGACATTTCGCTGTCGGACTTCCTTACTAGTCGCGGCGGCGAACGTGAGTACCCGTGGCCTGCAAACGGTGCTGCGCGAATGGTCGCCTCGCCCACCGCTTCGCTGTTCGCACCGCCGATCCCCGTGGCCAGGCCGTTAGGGTAAATCCGCCACTGGTTCTCGATAACGTAAAGTTAACTAACAGCGCCTCTAGCGGCAAACGTAAGCAAACGTTCCGACTCCATACAAATTTGAGTAAACTTTTACGCGAACGAGAACGTTAAAAACTCGCACTGTGCGCATAGGTCACATTTAGAATTGACAATATAATTTGCGACGCGTCACCACACCCTTATCGCACCATATATCACATCACTTAAACAGTTTAAAAGACATAAAAAGAAAAGTCTTATGCGACCGTTTCAAATAAAGGTAAACCAAATTTAGCATCGTTCCGATTTTAATATCGATGAAAAGAAAGAGCGTCACTAAAAAGAGACAAACGTATACATCTCTAGGATTTATTCTTCCAGAGAACGAGATAGAATACTTTTGAATGTTTTACATTACAATGTCAATGCGCAAAAAAAGTACAGTCGAGATCTGTAAGACAAAGAAAAAAGGACCCTATACGTATTAACATAAAAGCGATTTTGGCAAAACTTAGATCTGACTTTATGTTTCTGAAGCCGAAATCGATACTTACTGTTGCGAGGCAGAACGATGGCCTGATTGTCAGGTACGGTGCAGCAGTGCAAATTATTGTGAAACATGTACTGTACTGTCAAGTGCTTGTCCTCGCCAACGCACGGGTCATAGAAGCCTGGTAGTTCCGACTGCGCAAATGAAAAAAATACGTTAACATTGAGCTATAAAATAATTTATTAATCATCAAGCAAACTTGGTTGTTATTCAGACACGGTGCAGTTAATAGAATTTGATAGTTAATAACCGTGTTATTTTGACAATGTTACACAATTTATTTTAGTAGTACTATACTAAGTACTATACTAATATTTACAGGTCGAGGACCACATAAGGGCCCAAGTAGGAGACACGGGTAGGTATTGGTGTCCATAAGTTTTTTTTTATTGCTATTAGGGTGGACAAGCTCACCTGGTATTAAGTGGTTACTGGAGTCTATACTACACGTAAATGCGCCACCCACCTTGAGATATAAGTTCTAAGGTCTCAAGTATAGTTACAACGGCTGCCCCACCCTTCAAACCGAAACGCATTATTGCTTCAGGGCAGAAATAGGCAGGGTCCACCACCCGCGCGGACTCACAAGAGGTCCTACCACCAGTAATTATGCAAATTATAATTTTGTGGGTTTGATTTTTATAACACGATGCTATTCCTTCACCGTGGAAGTCAATCGTGAACATTTATTGAGTACGTATTTCATTAGAAAAATTGGTACCCGCCTAAGATTCGAACATCGTTGCATCGCTCGGCACGAATGCACCGGACGTCTTATCCTTTAGGCCAAGACGACTTCAATAGTTCAAGTGATAGTTACCACACAGCATCACGAGGGGACGCGGGAGGGGGATGGATTAAGTATAATCCTTTAACCATGGTATTTAAAAAAAAATACTATTATCAACTAATGCTCCGAATGACAATATCCCTGACAATAAAATTTTTAAATTAATGGTTAACTTCCGCACCTTGCTTGCCTCGAGAAGTTCAAGCCTTGAATCTTTGACCAAACATTGTACGGGTATTGTGACGTCGATGACATCGCTGTAAGGACTCGGCGATTCGGGAGATACACCGTCTCCTGTCTGTTCGGGTATCACGTGGCTCGATGTATCTGTGTATACAGTTAATTAATAAACAGGTGTGAAGGTAAAAAGCAACACGGCAGAATAGACAATTAATTTGTTAAGCTAAGCACGTCTATGTCGTTATCAGTTTTTTAATTCAGAGTCACGTAGGCATTCAACGCGCAGCCCTTACTCTGATGAACTCCGCTGCGATGGAAAGAGATCAATATACCCCGCACACTGCCTCTCTCAGAGGAGTCCATGGAGCATCAACATCAATCTATCGTTATACTGTTTGTTTATTTGAATGCTTAACACATCGCTTAAATTAGTTGTAGTCTGCCACATTCCGAAAATACTATCGAAACTTTTGAAAAATAAGGATGATTGATTATTAAAATTATAAATTTTCCAAGTTGGTGTGTTCGATCAAAACTGTTGTTGATTCTAGAATGTTCCGATCCTCAACATTTTCATATAAAATCAAAGATGCCGCTTGAAATTGATATTTATTGATTAATCATACGAATAATATAATTAAAAGTCAAGTTTTATCTCATAATAAACAAGGTGGAATAAAAAAAAATATGATAGGAGAAGTCCATTTTCTCTGCTTCACATTGTGGAATTAACCCTTGTAAATCAAAATACAATTTTATGTTCATTAAACTAATAACACAATTTGGATGACCAATTTTATTTCTGAATGAGCTAGTTTTTAATTTATTAACTCTCTGTCAGCCATAACATCAAAAATTTTAGCATCTTCAATCAAAGTAAGTAGTATTTGGATACTGATATCCTGCCAACATTACAACAAAAGAGATGGTTAGGGAGCATTGTTTTTAATTATGATTCATTTTCACTTTTAAACAAGTTCTTAGAAGAATTTAGGAGCACTACTACTAGTATTTAGTAATACAAAATTTCATAATAATAATTAACTTTAAATACGGTGCAACCTCGATATAACGAATTGGAAGGGAACAAGTAAATATTCATTATACCAAGAAATTGGGTGAACTGAGGTTGGTTATATTAAGGTTAGATTGGTCTACCATTTACCACCATTATGTGGTAAATGATAACACATTTTTATTTTATGAAATTACTGCATGTATTTCCTATTTAAAAACAATTAGATAGGTAACAATTTTTCTCAAACTTGTCGAGTCTGATTCACATAGTATCGGTCATATTGGTGGGAATTTTATAAAAAGTTTTTGGGTTGATAAAACTAGTTAATTACAACACTATTTTTACTAGTTTTACGACTTACTTTACTACTAGTATTTATACTTTTTTAGAGTTAAAGATTCGTTATAGGTTGTTCGCAAGAAATTTTCAAGGTATTTTACATTGACTCTTATGGATAATTCAAGGGGATAACAATGTAATTGTTAAATCGAGGATGTCATTATATTACTGAGGTTCGTTATATTAAGTTTGCACTGTATTACGAAGATTCTCTAAATATTCACAAGGACTTGTCTAATGCCCGATTGTAACACGAATTTACTTTAGTTAAGTACTCCATACCTGCCGGTAGCTTTCCGTATAGAGCTTTTAATATGACGAGACCTTTCTTCTTATCTTCGTGGGACCGAATTCTGGAATAAGTTTCTCTCATCAGTTCTACAGTAGCGCGTGCTTGTCTTTGCATCTCCTGTAATCTGTAAGAATAGGTTTTTAGTTATGAAGTCGTCCTAGCCTAAAGGATAAGACGTCCGGTGCATTCGTATCTAGCGATGTACCGGTGTTCGAATCCCGCAGACGGGTACCAATTTTTCTAATGAAATACGTACTTAACAAATGTTCACGATTGACTTCCACGATGAAGGAATAACATCGTGTAATGAGAATCAATCCCGCAAAATTATAATTTGCGTAATTACTGATGGTAGGACCTATAGTGAGTCCGCACAGGTAGGTGCCACCACCCTACCTATTTCTGCCGTGAAGCAGTAATGCGTTTCGGTTTGAAGGGTGGGGCAGCCGTTGTAGCTGAGACCTTAGAACTCATATCTTTTTATTTTTTATTGCTTAGATGGTTGTACGAGCTCACAGCCCACCTGGTGTTAAGTGGTTACTGGAGCCCATAGACATCCACAATGTAAATACGCCACCCACCTTGAGATATAAGTTCTAAGGTCTCAAGTATAGTTACAACTATAGTTATATCTCAAGGTGGGTGGCGCATTTGCGTTATAAATTTATATGGGCTCCAGTAACCACTTAACACCAGGTGGGCTGTGAGCTGGTCCAACCATCTAAGCAATAAAAAAAGTTATAAATAACATACAAAAATATTAAGTCTCAATCTCAGTTTCCCTAATAGAGAATATTTTTTATATTTCCACAGCTATCGTAATACCGAAAGCCTAGGTATCTGTTAATAAATCATTTGAAGTTGTATCATTTCTTTAGGACTGCTAATAACGTGTTGGATATCTTAAAACGACTCACCTTTCAAAATTAGCTTCCATAGAACGTTGTCTCTCTCGTTCCTGACGCTCTCTTGCAATAGGATCCAGAACGATTTTTTTTAATATCATCCATGATACTAATGGAACTACAGTTGCGTAGAAAACTGGTGACGGCATCACTTCCTCACACAGATGGATTGGCACTACTATAGTTTGTGATGAACATGTCCACCTGTACACACAGAAAACTATTATTTTACATTACATTATCAAGCCATCAGTTTGAAGTGGTGTAATTAATTTTTATGTAAAACTAGCGACCCGCCCTCGCTTCGCTTCGGAAACATTAAATTTTATTATTGATAGTTGAGTCCCGCGATGTTACCCGCGGTTATTGTAATACCGCGGGTGACGCCGTGGGGTGAAGCTAGTCTTAAAAAAGTAGCCTAAGTTACTCCTTATATCATCAGCTACCTATCAGTGAAAGTCTCGTCAAAATCGGTCGAGCCATTCCAGAGATTAGCCGGAACAAACAGACAGACAGACAAAAATTGTAAAACATGTTATTTTGGTGTATGTACCGTATAATATATTCATATGCATGTAGTAAAAAGCGGTTATTTGAATATTACAAACAGACACTCCAATTCTATTGATATGTATAGATAACTTCATATTTAAATCGCTTACGATCTAGCTCATGGTTCATCTTGTGCCAAGTTCTTACTAAGAGTCCATAGGCCACTCATTAAAAAAAAGCCGCAATCCACCTTGAGGTTTGTCTCAAACGTATAGGATAACGACGGTCCCACGTCTAGAACATATTACTGCTGTGCCGCATTAATACGACTAGATTGTAGAACCTACCTATGGGGATTACACCCTACTACCAGTCATTACACCTGTTAAGTTCTGCTTTTTTGATCATTTTTATTATATAAGGTTATTCTTTCGTTATGGAAGTCATTCGTGAAAATAATATGTTAAGTATGTATTTCATGAGAAAAGTTTGTACCATGCCAGCAGGATTTGAACATCAGTATAGTCGATACATCACTTGATACAAGTGCATGAATTAATTTTGAATCCAAATTTATGCAAATATTATCATTCTGGCACGTAACTCGAAGCTTTCCACTGACAATAAGCTCCTAATCTACAAAATGATCCTGAAGCCAATATGGACGTATGGATTGCAACTGTGGGGAAGTGCATGCGACTCCAGTTTAAATATCATGCAAAGAATGCAGAATGGCATCTTAAGAACCATAGCAAACGTACCATGGTTTGTGACAAACACTGAGATCCATGAAGCCATGAACATGAGAACTGTTAAGGAAGAGATAAGGTTGACAGGGACTAAGTACAGAACTCGGCTGGAAAACCACCCAAATACCCTAGCTAATGAGTTGACAAAAGTCAGTTACATTAAACGACTGAAACGTCATGATATACAGGGAGTTGGTGACAGATAGTGATTAATGAGGAGTCTCCTGGTGAGGAGCCTCTTCGACGCGATGGCACACGCAACGGATCTGCTCATAGTCCAGGACTGATCGCAGATAGGCACATAAAAAAAAAAAAAAAAATTATCATTCAGCATTGGCTTGTTCAATTTAATAATTAAGCAGCATTATTAAGATCCTGTCAACACATTCTACTCTTATTTTGTAATATTTTGCTGTTGTATATTGATTATAATTTATATAAATATTAAAAAAAAAATCTAAGTGATCATCCAACACATCTTATTTTTCTGACAAATCTTAAAGATCTTTTTTTGTTTTGTGTTGCTATTTTAGTTGAATAGTATGTTTTTCCCAACCTTTTTGCTGGTAGCGTAAGGGCTATTCAAAACTCTGCACGGAGGGGTTAGCCATTTAAAGTGTGCACTTGGTAGCAAAACATACATATTCTAACACATACCTCAAATAAAAAATTAATTCTGTATTTTTATTATTTCTATTTATTTTTTAAGCATCATATTAAAGATCTTTACTTGACGACTCATGACTTACCTCAGCCTGTCTTATTAATTATATTTTAAACAAAAACAAATATAGAACTGAGTTTATATGTGGTTTGTTTGAACTGTTACTATATTTTTTCTAAGCCAATAAAAAACGTAATGGGGCGAATGAACGCAATGTAATAAATGTGTCTTGCTTGCATTTACTCGAAACTTAATACTGTTGCTGTTAAAACTTCAGTGAAAAGTGTTGTTCCAGATAAAGTTATTGTTTTTATTATCTGTATCTCATACTTTTAAATTTGGTTTTATTTCAGATGTATTTACTTGAGTTTGAGCATAACCCCGCTAGGAACACCCAACATAACTGCAGCTGACACACTACTGTTTTGTGACACTTTCTTTTCCGCACCATACTCAGCTATTGCACCAAATGTCCCAAATCTAAAACAATAAAATAGCAAAATTATTTCAAGTTTACGCAACCACTATTTACTTTATAATCACTTTGTTTCGCAATGCATCTTTATTGTTATTTAATATTCGCAATGGCATTGGTGCTACAAGAACATATTTTCACTCAAATGTAATAATATGATTTTGTTCACATTCATTCGGTATGTGACATAACTTACTTTACAGCCAGTCTCAGCTTCAAATCATGTTGGGGCAATTTCCTCATCACATTGAAAGATATAAATGAATGCGGATTGCCAATCTGGATTGCAGTGTTGCTGTGATATTTCTCCGAGTCCCTCACATAGATTGAAGTCATTGAAGAGCCTTGGTTTCCAGCTCGGTATGTCAAATAACCCACTGAGTGAGCATCTAACTGAAGAGCTAATGCTGGAATAAAATGAAAGGTAATTTTTGTTCTACTATATAATTTATATATAGCTCTACAATTTACATATCAATCAATTTATATAACTTTTTTTTATTTTAAGTAATATTTAAACTGTATTGCCTAAATGTTATACTTACTAGAAACAAAGCTAGGTGAAATTCCTCTTGATGTAAACTGTAACACTGTGCCACAATTTAGAAACATAAGTCTAGACAATGTACGAAATAATTTTACACCTAGTAAAGGACCATTTCCTATTCCACATTCAACTTCTGTCCAGCCTTTTTCTGAGCTAAGGTGCCTGTTACACATATTTATTGAACCAGTACCTGTAATATCAAGATATATTTGAAAAAAAAAATACCATTACACTTTGCTTTGAATAGCTTACTTTGTATAGATTTTTGATAAATTTTCATCTAATAATAATTTTATGACATTCTTGAATCTCTAATTTAATAAAAAAAATGCATTTTATTCAATAAAATAAATTTTATTATTCATAAATATTAAATATTATAGAAATTTACTAATGAAACATTACTCAAATGAGAATTATTCTGATCAGTATAGATTTAAAGAGAAAATTTATATTTTTATAACACTTAGAAGTTTTACCTATTCCATTCTGAGTTGATATGTTTCCTGACAGAGTCATTGTATTTCGAAGTGTTACTGGAGCATCAATGGATTGTTGAATTGTCATTCCTGACACTTCAATGTTAGGGATCACTGTAGTTTCTTCCCTGTTAATGAAATAGAAAGAAATAAAGTATTAGACATTCAAAATTAGGAAGGATTACCTGTTAATATTTTTTTGTCAGTTTTTCATTACTCTCACATACTCTCTTCAAGTGCCACTTAATTACTGAAGATTGGCACCCAGCTCTATAAAACTGCATGTGACTGATGTAAGTTAGATGTCTTCAACCATCTTCAAGCCACTAGACTGATATTTTGAAGCATGTTGTGAAATGCCATACCATATTTATATGACTATTTTGTTTGTGCATAATGACAACATTGCAAGGCAATATTTGTAGGGGAAAAAATAAAGATAATAAAATTAAAACATGCTCTCAACTACTAAAATTTAAAATTATTATAAAAGTTTGATTAAAGACCAGGTTCGCAAATAAACATACAAGCTTACATTATTTCATATTCATCATAATACTTTGTAAACATATCTGTGGCATTGATGGAGAGTGTGATTGTGCCACGAGGGTTGGCACTCTGCTGGAGCCTACGTTCCTCACGTTCCCGTTTTAACCTGTTAATACATAATACAATTATTTTTTATATTGAGCAATTTTGAATGAAATAACAATATATTGCAATGCCGATTTCTTCTAAAAATTTGTTAATTTTAAACAGACAGATAAAACAAAATGAGATTATTGTATTTCATCCATACAATGAAGTGTAAAAGAGCAAAGGAATTGGGAAACCCTAAGTCATGAGATTGTTTTGTATTTTAAAATTAGAATCATTATTTTTATTTTCTAAAATTAGGAGAAATAAATAAATCTAAATTGGTATATAATAGGTATCAAAATAATAATCTCATTTGATGAAAAACTTTAAGTACCTCTCATATTCTTCTCTTATTTCCCTAGGAGTGCGTGTGCGGAAAATAACCTCCCAACCATCTACTTCTAAACCTCGTTTTCCTGTTAGACATATTTTGATAAGATATTACTTTGTACCTCAGTAATGATTTATAAAGTAGATTACTATTAAATTTCTGTGAAAGATTTCAAATTTATTTTATAATTTACATACCTAGTGTATCATATATGGCCCTTTTGTGTGAATCAGATAAAACTTCATAAGCCTCTTTCACTTTGTTGAATATCTGCTCAGCCCATTTTTGTTTGTTGGGATCTGTGCTATGTTTGTCTGGATGAAACATTCGAGAGAAACGACGATATGCACTATTGATTTCTTCTAAAGAAGCCTGTTTAAAGAAAATTTTGGTGGATGCGGTTAACTTTGTTATTCCTTCGAACTGTTCCTGATACTTACTTTTAGATTTAAATTAGAAAGAAAAAAATACTGTTCTTAATTAACAAATTATGTATACTTATGGTGATTTTAAGTGAGGAGTGCAATCAAAATCTGGTCAGATTTTCCGATGCCACATTGAACTTTTGAACAACAATATTAAAAAGGGTGATACTATTCAGTGCTTAACCATTCCTTTTTTAATTTCTGCAATGATATGCTGCACTTGGTGCAACTTGCATCCATCTTAACCTAAAAGCTTTTCTACCAAATGACCCGGATGTTTATGAGAAAATAATAAGGTTTAGATAGCTGGGTAATCCATAAATATTATTTTTTTATAATTATCTTATTATATAATACGTAATTTCGATAAATATAATTTTTCCGAATCTCGACATGTGACGTAATATTTACCGTCTTTGATACATTTAGAAGCTGATAATAATTATCTTCAAGTAAAATGCTTTCGCCTTCTTCATCCATCTTGATAGGAATATTATAACAAAATTAATTTGAGTTTAATCAAAATATCAATCGATTAGTACAGTTTATTGGCTGATTTAGTTCTATTTGCCGCCGCAATGACATACTCTATGACAGACAGAGACGTCAGAGCTAGACTTATATCCAGGATTTCCTCATCCTCATCTTTTACAAAAATAAAACAGCTCAATGAAAGTACTCTATGGTTCAGATAAGACTTTTTTTATTGCATGAGTGGTCGAGCTGACAGCCCACCTGGTGTTAAGTGGTTACTGGAGCCCATACACATCTACAACGTAAATTCGCCACCCATCTTGAGATATAAGTTCTAAGGTCTCAGTATAGTTACAACGATTGCCCCACCCTTCAAACCGAAACGCATTACTGCTTCACGGTAGAAATAGGCGGGGTGGTGGTACCTACATGCGCGGACTCACAAGTGGTCCTACCACCAGTAATTACGCAAATTATAATTTTTACGGGTTTTATTTTTATTACACGATGTTATTCCTTCACCGTGGAAGTCAATCGTGAACATTTGCGAAGTACGTATTTCATTAGAAAATTTGGTACCCGCCTGGGATTCGAACACCGGTGCATCGCTTCAACACGAATGCACCGGACGTCTTATCCTTTAGGCCACAAATGTGGGAAAATGAAACAAATCTGCTGGACGTAGCTTCTCGGGTTTCTCCAAAAAGTCCACTGAAAAAATCTCAGTAAATGACCACTATTTTATTTCGATTAAATTTCATCCCATATCATCTCATTTAATTTAATTTCATCCCAGTTCATTAATGTTTCAAATTAATCATCTTCACTTCATTTCATTTCAGTTCATTTCACACCATTTTATCATTTTTCATAAAAATAAGAATATGAATTAAAATAAGACATGACTTATAGGTCTTAGTTACCAGGTCATAAAATCTATTAAAAAAAAATCTGTCCTCTTACGATATCATCATAGATTATACACATAATATATTCGAGAGATATCATAATAAAATGTGGAATAAATTCAATAAATTTCTCCAAGATGTGCCGTTAATTGTTATTGTTTTGAATGTCGAACTATAAATTATTAAGTTGTCGAGTCACAAAGTTAATACATAGGCGTTTTTATATCGAAGGTATATAAACATTTATTTATAATTTTTTTCCCGTTAAGTTAATCTTCGTAACTGTAAATAAAAAGTTTTTTCAATGTTTTAAAAATATGATATTATTACTAAAATGCTTTCAAAGTAAGCTTTTGCGTTCTGTTACAGTATGTTTGCTTTTATGGTAATTGGTTGTGTAGGTGGAATATGTTTTTGGAGTTCTTGTTAAACGGTGGCCAACTATTTAAGTCAGCTAAATATTTAGCGATGATCAGCACTAAGCGAACAAAACATAAAAAATATACCGATCTATCTGTAATTTTAGCTGTTCACCTGGATTACTATGCCAGATGAATCTACGTCCAATTATATTGTAATATTCTAAACTGGCTTTCGCCCGCCAGACGCATCACGCTCACGATTTATAATTTATAGTTTCCGTGAAAGTTTTTTAATCGATTGAATCCAATAAAAAGGTTGATATAGATTCAGGTAATTTCTATTCCAAATAAAAAGGAGGTAGATTTTTTTTTTATAACAAAACATACATTTCTGAGACCTTTAAATATAACATACATTGTTATACATAACATCTATATTATGGAATTTCAACAGAAAAAAGTAGATAAAAAATATTCCAGAATTGATGTTGATTCACATTAGTCAAGTTTAAATATTGTTAGTTAGTCCTTTTAATTACTGAAATCTATTTAAAATGCATTCACAACTGTAATTTTAGGGAAAGGTAACCACTTAACTTGAGGTGATTTATGTGCTTGTGCATCAGTAGCAATAAAAAAGTCTAAATTGATCACAGCATATTAAATTTCAATTGATACAAAATGCGAACATGGAAGTGATGAAATTAAAATATTTTAAACATAACACTTAGCTAATGCTTTTTGCAACTTATTATGACTAAAATAAATTAAAAAAAGAACAAGTTGATTAATTGTGTTGGTTTTGCTCAAATTGGTATTTCATGAAATATTACTCTTTATCATTGCCATGAGTGCAGTATGATATTTTGTTACTACCTGCCTTTTATTTTTATTTTTTCTTCTAATTCTTTATTGTACACACAGTTAATACAATACAATAATTGCGAAAACGTATAAAATGCTAACTCAACAATTGAGTTATCTACCAGCTAACCGCTCTTAAAGAGGGAGAGCTTTGCATAAGTGGGTAGAAAAGTACAATCTAATTAATAAGATTTTAAATAACTATAAATAAATAATAATAATAATAATAATAATAAAAATAACACTAATACATAATAAATCAGACTATACACATGCACAATTACACACATAAATAACATAAACATATACATACACATATATATATAAGTAATACTCACAATTACTTAATAAAGGCCTGCTGCCTTCTAAAGACAAACTTCTCAAATTAAACCCTTTTATTGACCATGCAGGTATAATACGAGGAGGAGGTAGACTATCAAACTCTCACTATGATTACAACACAAAGCACCCTATCTTACTAGACGAATCACTTCACATAACTAAAATATTAGTCACGCACTGTCACAAAATTCTTCTACATGCCGGACCACAGCTGTTGTTATCAACATCGTGACACAAATACTGGATAGTCAATGGTTGTAGTCTTTGTAGAAATATTACTCGAAATTGCATATCCTGCCTTAGATTTGCAGGCAAGACTTATCAGCCTATCATGGGAAACCTACCTCTATAAAGATTGCAAGCAGACTATCCTTTTAGTAATACAGCTGTGGACTATGCTGGTCCCATCATGATGGCGAACAAAAGGTCGAGGCTGTCAGTTGACAGAAGACATATATTGCCGTTTTTGTTTGCCTGGCAGTGAAAGCGATGCACATAGAACTCATCACTGACCTAAGTTCTTAAACGTTTCATTGCAGCAGAGGTAAGCCAGCTGTGATCCACTCCGACAAAGGAACTCATTTCGTGGGTGTTCGCAATGAAATAGTTAGGTTGCTAAAAATCAATCTAACGATATTGTTTCATATGGTGCTGAAAACGAAATTAATTTTAAATTTAGTCCAGCCTACAGTTCACATTTTAACGGCGTAGCAGAATGGTCAGTTAAATCAATTAAAGAACAATTAACTCATGTATTGTCAATGGCTCATTTGGACTATGAAGAGATGAACACTGTATTGGTTCAAATTGAGGCAATACTAAATTCTAGACCTCTCACTCCAATTTCATCTGATCCATCAGATTTAGTTCCTATTACACCAGCGCATTTCTTGATTGGACGAATGCTCACTATATTACCTGCTTCCCAGGTCGATCATACTCCACTTCATATGCTTTCCAGATATAAAAGGATACAATTATTAAAAACACATTTTTGGAATCGATACTACAAGGAGTACATTTCAAAATTGCAGATCCGAAATAAATGGCATACAGATAGAGGACAACCACAATACATAACAATGTTTTTGCCTAATTTTAACTCTTTTTTTGTGATGTGTAAAATGTAAATAGTTTGTTTCTTTATAGATTTTTTTAACTGCTTATGAATAACTGTACCAAGTTTTGAGAATGTTCATATGGAAACATTTTATTATCTGTTTATCAGTTTGGTCATCATTAAGTTTGGGAATATGTATGTAGCTCTGCTTCCACTTTCTATTGATAGTTAGAGATCATCATTGCAATTTTGTAATTAATAAACAGACTTACAATACAATGCTAATACACTCAAATAAAACTATTGTCTCATAGTAATAATGTTTTTATTGTTTCTATTGTGTTTATTGCGATGGAACTAGACTAGTTTGAATATAATCATATGAAACATCTACAATCTACTAGGTCCCACTAGTATTTATAGTATCAGCATTTACATTTCAACTTTGAAATGCAAATCTAATCTTATCTACTGTCAACAGCAATTTCACATTTTCTCAAATAGATGTATTGCATCTTGTTCGCTGTTATGTCATTGTCTGTCATGACCATTTGAACATCATCATAAATTACGATTTAATGTTTTGTGCATATTTTAGTAATTTTAAATACAAAAGGGATTTTGTTGCAGGTATAGAGAGATAAGATGCCGTCAACCCACCTAAATCTCCGAGAAGATGACGTTGTCCGTTTGTCACTCGAGTTCCTCCATAACAGAGACCTTCACATCACACAGCTTTCCTTAGAAAGAGAAACCGGCGTAATAAACGGCAACTACGCAGATGACGTTTTGTTTTTGAGACAGCTAATCCTTGATGGACAATGGGATGATGTGTTGGAATTTATTCAACCGCTTAGTGCACTTAAAACGTTCGAAGCAAACAAGTTTAATTATGCTATATTGAGACACAAATACATAGAATTATTATGCATAAGGTCTGAAATTAAAGCCTATAACAACGTCGAGAACATTGTTGAAGAAGTTGTTAAGGTATTGAGTGAATTAGAAAAAATAGCCCCATCGAAAGAAGAATATTCCAATTTATGTTTGTTATTGACATTGCCGAGTATAACCGATCATGCTCAGTTTAAAAAATGGAATCCAAGCAATGCGCGTGTTCAATGTTTCAGAGAAGTATATCCGCTGGTCGAGCAGTTTTTGCCTTGCGATAAAAAATCATCGAGCGGCACCATATCAAAGTGCGCCAAGAATGATCGGCTAATGCAATTGTTAATCAAGGGAATATTGTATGAATCTTGCGTGAACTATTGCCAAGCTAAAGCAACTGGATCAAAGGAAGCACAGTCGAACGACGTTACGTTTTCAAGGCTCCTTGACGGCTCAGGATTTGATGAATCCGATTTGAGCTTACTGTCATGGCTACAGTCGATTCCAGCAGAAACGTTCAGTGTACCGTTCGAACAAAGAATGTTAAATGTTGATGTAGAAAAACTAGAACGGCCTTCATTGCACACGTCATGGACTGAACACATGCTCGTCACGCCTATTAAGCCGCGGACATTCCCACATTTGGCTATGCCGTTCAGACGGCCACGCTCAGCAGCGGACGCTATGACTAGGTCATTACGTCCACTTCCTGACGGTGCACCGAGACATCCCGCTCTCATGGCACTTTCGGCCATAGATTATGGTCCTTCGTCATCATGTTTTGCCGGATTTCATTTAACCGGAATAAAAGGCAGTAAGCTGATGAATACGTCTGTGGATAGGCTATTCGACAGTCCAACTGGGGACGGCATATTTGAAGACCTCAATGATACTCTGAAGCCTATCGCTGAGCAAGTGAAATTGTCCGAAGATAGTCCGCCCGCGAAACTAAATGAAGGTAGTAGCATCGGTGCGTCTAACGCCACGACACCTGAACACAGAGCCCAAGATTACTCTGCGTCAACGTCAGTTTCGAACACTGCGGCTTCGACTGAACGCTCATCGCTCGCGGAGCGTGCGCCGCCGAGAGTCGAGCATGCGGTCGTACACGCTACGGATGGTGATTTCAGACGCGACTTGCTTAAAGAATATCAAATACAAAAGCAACGCGAGTGTGACGACTACATCAGAAATCTCTGTTCGTCTGAATCGAGGCAACCGAAATCGTAAGTGCACTGTTATTAATAATATTATCACTACATCGTATAAAACAAAGTCGCTTTCTCTCTCCCTATATCCCTATGTATGCTTAAATCTTTAAAACAACGCAACGGATTTTGATGCGGTTTTTTTTAATAGATGAGTGATTGAAGAGGAAGGTTTATATGTATAATAACATCCGTTAAATAGTGGAGAAATCAATAATAAATTACAGTTCCCGAAGCGAAGCGAGGGCGGGTCGCTAGTGTTTAAGAATGGTCTTAATAGCGAACTGAATGTGAATTATATATGTTTTCTTAAACTCATTTTAGAATGGAGCAAGTAACCGATGCCCCAGCCGGATTTTCGACAGCTGCCAAGAGTCAACAACAATTCGCCAACAGACCGCCAATTGAGGAAAAGCCCAGGGAACAAATGCTTTACGGCAGGTAGATTAAGATTTTTAAATGTTTGCTTATTTTACGTCTACATTATGTGTAAAATCCACGTTAATCTATTTTCAGTTTGATAAAATTAAATTTGTCGCATTCAAATTCTTAGTCGCAAATTATAGCGGAACGATAAGAATGCATTATTTATTTTGATAACTGAATGATTACTTGTATGCACAGTGTACGTGGATAGCATCAAGCAATCATTTTCTTACGGTACGATGTGTCTTTCTCGGTACAGCGAGCAAGTAATTTGTTCTGTATCTTTTGGCGTGTTTTCTCTAACCAGCGTTTGCAATCTACTATGTAAACGAACCGTGCTATCTGTTCAATTAGATTCATCGTGAACTATCTTTGTAATCAGTTACGTGTTATATTTATTTTTTTATCTGAATAAGTGTTTTAATTACAGGAATCAGCGAAGTGAAATCAGTGAATCGTCAGACGTGGGAGAACCCTCTACGGTAAGCACTTTAGATGCACATTTGTTTTAGATTCGTAAATATAAACGAAGCGATTGATATGAAAGTAGCTAATTCCGATAAGTGGTATCCTAATTAACATTTTAATGAACATTTCATATGCATTTATTTGATGTAACTTAGTTACGTGTCTTCGCGCTGAATATGTATTAAATGACAGGTTTTGTAACGAGAATTAGCACCTTTCTCTTGAACACATGTTGCTTTGGAATATTTTAATTATTGTATATTGGTACAGTTTGAATGGTAAACCGAGCCCATAGACATAAAACAACGTGAATATACGCCCTCCAATCCCTACTGAGACAAAAGATCACAAGAACTGTGAAAGCTTGATTGCATTTATTAACATGTTAATGTATTGGAATAAGGGTGGTCTTGCCGTGCCAATAAATTGAGATTCAATGTTCCGTGGCATATCTACAGTTTTTTTTTCCATCGTTAACAGTTGTATGAACACATAAGACTGTTTAATATTGTTAAACAATGTTTTAACCATTTCTTCAAGAGTACATTTTTGATGACGTAAACTTAGAAATATACTAAGAAGAATTCGGTTATATTGACAGATCGGTCGGCTCGGTTTACGTTCAGTAGCGAAGTTTTGAGTTTAATTTCGAGTGAGCTTGTGCGATATCGTACACCTTAGGACCCTGCTGACTGCTTCGGATCGGCATTAAAAAACAATTTTTTTTATTAAATATATATTTTTCCCACTTGGGATTTGAAATTATTACAAGTAATTGATACACCTGACTGATTACCTTCTTTCAAATGATCAATTGAAACTGACCCCTTTTCAGATTTAGTGTTTGATTTAGTATGTGAATGGTAAAACAGTGCAATTGAAATGCAATGACTGAAGTCCTGCCATCTGTGTTGTCTTAATTGAAACTGAATCCTCTGGGTTTGCCGTTTTATTTGTTGAGAATTGCTTCTGCTGTATGATAATAGATGGCGTTAGTCGCACTGACAACTTTCATGTTCTCTTGTTGAGTTGATGAGATCTGAGATCCTCAGGAGCCTAACTTCCTCATGCTTCAAGCAAATGTTTAAAAAAAGTTCCACAAAAAGAAGCTACGGTTCCAGAAAATTCGAACCTTCGTTATTAAATACATTTATATAGGATAAAATCTGAATTGTAGATTAAAATAAAATAAAAACCATTTGATTTATCTATATTTAATAAGAAGTGTGAAGGAATAATGTCTTGATACAAAACTATAAATTCCCACTTAGATGGCTACGATGTAGTATCTTCCACATGTATTTAAAAAGTTTTTACCTATCATTTTTGAATTGAATGTTCTCTTCTTTACTATAACAGGAGGATTGTGACTTTTTATGCTGTCAAGTGGTTGTAAGAATTAAGTCACATAACAAATAATTATGCATTGATCGTACGTTGTGAATTAAAAACCTCTTCCTTATTTAAAGTTGGTTAAAACAGAGAAAGACCACAACAATTCTGCCAAGAGTGCAAATGATTAAGAAAAAAAAAAAAACAGATGACAGTATTATTGTTTAGGTGTCGTTAAACGGCTTCAAATAACTGATTAGTTTATTTTGTTTCGCGCAAAAACTATTCCAATAAGATTTTTACTGTCATTGCATATGTTGTTGTAGCTCAGGGCCCATAGACATCAAAAAGGGAATGTCGCTACCCAACGGTGGGAAATAAGGTCGAAATCCCAATTGAATTGTATGGCCGCTGTTCCGCCCTTCAAACCGGAATGCATGACTAATTTGCGGCTGCAATAGGTAGGGAAGGGTTAGTAGGTGGTCAGCACTAGTAACCAGTGCGTGCTCACAATACGCCCTACGACAAGTACGAGGTATTTTTGTGAAGGTAACATACACGCTTATGCCTCTGACGTAGAGATATATTCATTTATTTATTATATTAAACCAATAATCGGTTTAACTTTGCGCTTTAAAGAAGGGTGCCTATATTTTATCTTACTATATACAAATATTTATTTGTATTTTTTGATACCCGCTACCAGTAACCCGTATTACGTGAGCTTCCCTTTAAGGAACATTAATTATGTATCCCTAATAATGCGACACACCTAAGTAATATTTATTGTAATTAATACAAACTCGGCATTTGTTTTGTGTCATATTAATTAGTTTAGCCTTGTACTGGACAATGTCACGCCCACTACTCAGTCTATTAAATGTGAACATAAATAATTTAATAGGATAAAAATCTGTAATTTGTAGAGCAATTGATGAACGACCCGTTTAAGTAGTCATGTTGTGTACAGTCTTACTAACATATCGCTGAACTTACGCTGAAATATATTGGATAAAATATGATCTTTAATTATAAAATCTACATACATACATACATGACATTTAATGTTGTTTCCTTATGCGATAAAAATAAAATTCCTTTAAGCACATTGGGTTTGACTTTTGCTATCATCAGCTTCCGAGGCTGTAACAAATTACATTACTTACCCCCAAATTGGGGTACTGACAAAAACAAGATCTGTCGCTGCCTCATACCCAAAGGTTATAAGCATATCAATTATTATATTATATATGAATAAAGCCCATTTGTCAAATGTTGAAGCGGATATTTCTGACAACATACAAAGGCGACCCCAAGTGATGTGTAGATAACTCGACTGCTCTGTATGGTGCCGCGGTTTGCACACGTCCAATTTTCGTCCCACGGCTCCTTTAGTAATGCCGCGTTTTCATTATCTTCCAAATGGATAAATTGCTTTAAACGAATGCTTGTTTGTTGCAGTGTTCATGGTATGATGATTAATTACGGTCATGCGTGTGTACCAACATTACAATAAGATTTTTTTTAAAAGGATTCGAACGGGATTGAATTGCCTATGTGGAATAATTGAACACAATAATATGCACAGCTTTGATTTGGAAATTGCGGTTCTTGTCAGTTGAATGTGCTTAGAAAATGTAATATGCGTACCGATGATATGATATGATATAATTTATAATCTGAAGACACATAAAAGAAAATATATTCGTAATGCTCCATTTATATACTCGCCAATCGTAGGCGATTAAATGCGAATATGAGTACGTAAGCGGCCTATTCGGGTGTATTTTTATATAAGCCGCGAGTGATAATAAAAAAATATCGAATTGCAAGCGTTTTTCGTTGGGAGCTCAAACCCGCAACCCGTGGTTTCATGCATTTCAACAATGCATTTGAATACATCTTTTTGCCACTTACCTTGTGCTGCTGCTTTGGAATACAGTTCTCTCTACGGTGTGTTCCTAGTGCTAACAAATAACGTCTAATTAGTCTTTAGCTATCTGAATAACTGACTATCGGTACTGACTACGCTACGGGCTACCCTCAGACTGTAACCTTTTTTTATGTTTGAGAATTCACTGGTGGCCCGCAGGCCTTTCCAGTTTTACCAGGGTATGTGGGCGTGCGAAGGCTCAGCCAGAGATTATAACTTATGAGCGACAGGGACCTAGCTCATACTGTGAAAAAAAGGCGTATAACTTGGAGCAGTTGAAATAAGCTCGTTTCGAATTCTCGTATAAAGTAGACGTTCAAAAAGTATAATGAATGCCTGTGTAGGTCGTTCTAACGGTATCCTGCATCTGTTTAAAGAACAATGACATGGACTAGGACCAAAACATTCATATTCAATATTTTCTAGATGATACCTACGCAAAATATCCGATCTACTATTTGAAATGATATAAAGGATTGCTATAAGTATAGTTATTTGCCTATAATAATAATATGTATTCGTATTTATTTATAATTTTTATATTAGATAATTATATCTGAAAGCATTTCATTCTAAAAATAGAAATGGGTATAAATTATAATAATGTATTCATCGGAACCAATTACAATTTGATATGTTATTTTTGCAGTTGATTTTATGTTACACTATTGAATAATTTAAAAAGCCGAAGCTTTGACGTCTGATGATGATTTAATAAATTGATTTCTATTCATGATAAGGATCCGTTATTGCTTTCGCTTACATCTCAAGTATTTCCCTTCACTGTTCGTGGACAATCTTAGTCTAGTAGACTAGTCTGGCCATAAATAATGTTACAATTAAAAATAAACAAAATATTACATTTGAATTTGGAATCTGTCATTTTTATATGATTGCTCATTGAGTTTTCTCATTTTGGCGCCAATACATTGTACAATATTTTGCGATATTAAAATGGAGTGGGGTGACAAAGAGAACCGAATCGCTGTGATTGCATTACACAAAGTAGGTGTGGAGCCAAATGCAATTTCTAAAACTCTCCATACGCTTGGTATTAGTAAAATGTTTGTGTACCGGGCTATTAATAGGTGCAATGAGACCTCCTCTGTTTGTGACAGAAAAAGATCTGGCCGTCCACGTAGTGTTCGTACGAAAAAGGTAGTCAAAGCAGTAAGGGAAAGAATTCGAAGAAGTCCTGTCTGAAAGCAAAAGATTTTATCTCGGGAGAATAAGATAGCACCTAGAACCATGTCGCGTATTTTAAAAGATGACTTAGGACTTGCAGCCTCTAAGAGACGTACTGGTCATTTCTTAACTGATAATTTAAAAGAGAATAGGGTGGTAAAATCGAAACAACTACTGAAGCGGTACGCAAAGGGAGGTCATAGAAAAATTTTGTTTACGGATGAGATTTTTTTTACAATTGAGCAACATTTTAACAAACGAAATGACCGTATTTATGCTCAAAGCTCTAATGAAGCTTCCCAAATAGTCGACAGAGTGCAAAACGTGGGCACTATCCGACTTCAGTGATGGTTTGGTGAGGTATTAGCTATGAAGGAGTGACTGAGCCATACTTTTGTGAAAAAGGTATCAAAACATCGGCACTAGTGTATCAAGATACCATTCTTGAGAAGGTAGTGAAGCCCCTTAACAACATCATGTTCAATAATCAAGAATGGTCCTTCCAGTAAGACTCGTCGCCAGGTCACAAAGCTCGGTCTACGCAGTCTTGGTTGGAAACGAACG